AAATTAAGGAATCCATTAAAAATCAACTGTAAAAACAAACCCTATGCATACGTAATTACTAAAAGCATTCAAGATGACAGGGGGACTCGCGACCCCTGGAATCTTGGTGATGTATGTATGCAGTACATATTGGATGGGTGGGTGATGGGGTGGGTGAGATCACAGAACGAGAAACATCAGCAGCAACCCAGCAAGGACTTGGAAGAAGAGGCCACACTGTCCTGAAATAATCCTAGCTATCCAGGGGACACGCATCATGGCTTTGCTTTGAGCTGGTTTGCAGGTGGAAGATAAAACAACGCTTATCCCACTAAAGCTGGCCGAGTGATCCTGCAGTTCAGTACACATATGCCTGTTGGTGCAGCCCTTCAAGGTTGTTGTTATCACTGCTTCTCCTGCAGAGAGAAAGAAAGGAGATCCTGTCATTTTCACAGCCCTTCACAAACATGGGTTTTCTACATCCCTTGTCATCGTACATTAGAATGTCCAGTTTGGATGTCCAGCTCAATTGTTGGATCTGTGGGAAAGTATAGGAGAATAAAGGATGGAATTGAGGCAGCTCCTGAAAAGCCAAGGGGGGCTTTTGGACAATTTACAGATCATGATCAAGGCAAGGAAGTCCTTTGGGGGAAGATGTTGATTAAAAGTGGGAAAAAACAGCCCAGTAGCTTTCGAACTTCAAGAATGTTTTCAAGCCTAGATGTAGTATACCAGCGGGAGACCTGTGGCACTGTAGATCAGTGTTTTTCAACCTTGGCAACCTTAAGATGTATGGACTTCAACTCCCAGAATTCCCTAGCCAGCATACTTTGATTGGGGAATTCTGGGAGTTGAAGTCCACACCTCTGAAAGTTGCCAAGGTTGACACTGTTCCAGATGTTGCTGAACTACAACCCCCAGTAGTCCTCGTTATTGTCCATGCTCCCTTAAGCTTCTTGGAACTAATGTTCAAAGAGGACCATGTGTTTCCTTTCCTTGCAGTGTCCCTTTCAAAATCCACCTACAATGGTTAGTAAAGTGATATTCATTGTAGAGGTAAGCATACATTTGCTTTGGTAGATGCACAAAATAATTTCATTACCTAAGTTTGTGTTCCCGATGACAGAAAAGCAGAGCTCCTGGTTTCCCGTACATTGGGTTATTTCGTTCCCACAGTCACCACCTTGCAGAGCTTGACAAGCTGGGCATATCTTCCCATTGGGCTTCATATCTATGGTCGGGACTACGTGTTTGGGATGGAAAAAGAACAGAGCTGTCAAAACGAGTTTGAAGAAAGAGGATACACACATCCATTGCCTGATTTTCTACAACATCTTTTGAGAACAGGAAAGGGTGAACAAATTAAAAAAAACTGGAAGTGGAAGGCAATTTGCCCCATGCCTTCTTCACTTCAGCCATAACTGTAGGCACAAGCTCAATGGCATGATTTAACCAAGCCAGTTGTAAAACATAATGGCTGCATTCACACAATATGCGAAGTTTCATGTTTGGGTTTTCTTTGATTGGCCAAGTGCACTGAACAAATCTGTTCTTTCAGTTTCTGGTTCAGTGTATTGTACCAGACTGGAAAACAGATCAAGTCAGTAACCAAGTTCCATGTGCTACACCAAAACCTATTTTCCAGTTTCCTGCAAGTATGTTTTTGGTAAAAGAAGCTTCTGTTTATCTTCCTCATTTTCAGGTGCATTATGGTTTACTTGGCGGGGTGGGGGGGTTAGTTAACGTGATTGTTTAAAGGCACTACCAGAAGGTACTGATGTTGCTAGGGTTTTTCCTCCCCCATTACACATTTCCCAAGCTTCCTTCAAAGCCACCTAAATAACTTAATGGGAGGTGTATTCTCCTAAAGTCTGTCCTTAGGATTAAATGGAAAAGTGGGAAGCCAGGGAGATTGCTGGTGGCTGGAGATATTATTGTACAGACAAAACAATCATATGGACCTCTTCACCACCTCATCACTTAGAAAAACACTAGAACCTCAGATCTCCTCATGAAAATTGCACTAAATGTTGTGTTCCTTTGGGGGAAAAAATCAACAGCTATTTCTTTTTCATCAAATTTAAGAAGAATGGTTAAGAAATGAGAAAATGAGAAAGAAAAAATGAGAGCCAGTTTGGTCTAGTGCAGTGTTTCTCAACCTCAGCAAGTATAAGCTGTGTGGACTTGAACTCCCAGAATTCCCCAGCCATCCTGACTGGGGAATTCTGGGAGTTGAAGTCCACACAGCTTATACTTGCTGATGTTGAGAAACACTGGTCTAATGGTTAAGGCTTCAGGCAAGAAAGCAGGAGATGGTGAGTTCTAGTCCTGCCTTAGGCATGAAAGCCATCTGGGTGACTTTAGGCCAGTCCCTCTCTCTCAGCCTAACCCACCTCACAGGGTTGTTATTCTGGGGAAAATAGGAGGAAGGAGTATTAGGTATGTTCGCTGCCTTGAGTTCTTTATAAAAATAATAAAGGCGGGATAAAAAAAAATCTAAAAAAATAAATTAGCACAACACTCATTGCAAGAAAGCTCAGAGGACATTCTTCTTCCCAGCAAGTGATAGGGTTCCCAGGGAACCAAAGAACAATCATGCAGAATTATGGGGATTTAATGTTACTTATTTACTCATGTGGTCAATAGGTAAACCGACTCATATATACCGGGGTGGTTTACAAGAAGTGGTCATAAAATAAGGAATATACAGATTTCAGTTTGGATTCTGCTGGGAGTGAATTTGGGTTCTCAATCCTGCCAAATCTATGGTGGGGTGAACAGTTGCTGGAACAAAAACAGTCGATAGTGTTTTTCTTTCCTTCAAAGACATCTCCTTCTACCTTTTGAAGTAGGTGGCCAGGGCTTTTCCATGTTCCTTTTTTTCACTGAAAAAATGCCCCACACGCTCATTCCATTGCCTTTGCAGCAGTTCTTGGACCACCAGTGACCCAGTGTGGTCACATGGTCATTCTGGGAAGTGCTGCAAAGGAGTAGCCATCTGTTCTCAACGCAAGGGAGCATTTTCACTGTGAAAATTAAAGATAAAGCCTTAAAGATTTTCAAAAGCCATATTGACTTCCTCCCTTCCCCTCCACATGGACCATGGCATTGCTGTCCAAATTTTAGTTTTAAAATCCAGACATAGAATTGCTAGGACAGAAGCAGTCTCTCTAACATGGGCAGTAAAAACAGATCCACCCATCCCTACATAAAACAGCCTTTTGTTTGATAAAAACAGAAGCTGCAGAGAAAGGAAGGAAGGGCACAGAAGTCACATACAAACGTGATTGATCCTGTTGCATTTATCTCCCACACAGCAAAAAAGTTGGTTGGTTATCATTCCCGCTTTCCCCATGTTAAGAACGCCAGTATCTTCACTGCAGGAAACAGAGGGAACGCAACCCTTCTTAATGGCCTTGATCTTAACTCCTATATTGGAATTAAAAGAGGAAAGAAGAAATGTGAGATTGTCATATTTCCCAATTTCTTAGGGACAGAGAAGTTGCAGAGTCATCAAGATGGTCTTCTCAATGCCACCTGCTGGCCTGACTATAATGGAAAGAGATTTTTGTGTTTTATTTCTACCAATCTTTGCATTCTCTCTACACCACCGGTGGCTTACATCTCAAATGATAAAACCCTAAAAACATATCAAAGCCCAAAAGATGCCCAGCCTCATGCTACCAGCTAAGCCTTACCCCTTCCTGAGCAGCTGCTGCTAGAAATGGACTCTTCCACCCTAAAGTCTTGCTGGAAGAAAAGAGTTTTCACTGCTCTCCAAAGTGTCAGAAAGCGACAGACACAGGTTCGGTTGTCCAGTAGACAGAAGTTTTTTTATTGGGCACGTTTGCAAAGGTG